GTGTGCCGCCCTCTAGGATGCTAAACTTCATTGAAACGAGGGCAATCTTTAAAGCCTCCCCGCTTAGCACTCTTCCAATTTCACTTGCACTCAGCTGCTATTCTTTATATCCTGTGTTGTTTTCTCTTTTGGGTTTGTCTGAGTCCTTTTTGAATACAGGGTTCATGTGAACAAATCTCTGCATCTAGAAGGTTATGAGCTAGCTTTATTTTGTCTTCATGTCTGTTTTGAAAGTTTAGATAAACACAAACATCCGAACTGGAAAGACGTCCCCGTTTTCTCTCCTGTCTTCCATCGTGTAGAGGTCTGGCAGCAGGCTGATACATACATCCTTTGGTTAATGATGAGGGCTTTTTCCTTTCTCCGAAATGTTTAGGATTATTTGTAATCCTGTCATTATAAAATTCTACCAGTGTTGCAACTTCAGTCTTTCCATACAAACCTCCCTCTACTTTTTGTGGAGCCCTCCCACTGAGGGTGGAGCCTCTTTCTGGCCTGGGGAACATTCCCAACTGCCTGTCCACCTCCAGCTCTTCTACTACTCCCCATTGCTGGTCTCTGGGCAGCAACCTGGCGGCTCACCCGAGGGCCAGGATCTTGGTGTGAGCGCTGTGCCCTCCTCAGCCTTGCTGTCCATGCGCTCAGCACCAGACGACACCTCTCTGTACAGTGCGTTCTTTGAGTGACACCACTTCCAACTGCAGGAGGCTTTCTTCTCCAGTTGTTTGGTTCTGTTTTTAATGGGCTGTTACTGTTGTAAGTCTGTGATGTCCCTACTCACAAAGGATACCAGTGGAGGTTTCTTTTCATCCTGTCCCGTGATGGTGGTGTTGTCCACCTGCTCTCTGGTAGTTGGTTTCTCTCTGTGCTTTTCTCTTGCTGTCATTGCCAGCAGATGCCCTCAGCTTTTACTTTGGTCCTGGATAAACCTCATGCAGCTCAGCAGATGCCACTTCTGTCTCTGTGGTCACTGGTGTGGGCGTCCTGGGCCCGTGGGGCACCTGCCTGAGGGCTTTCTGCTGAGCTGGGCGGTCATGCACAGCGTGTATTGGCCACTCACAGCATGGCCACATGCACAGTGTGGCCACGTGCACAGCGTGTGTTGGCCACTCACAGCATGGTCACATGCACAGTGTGTGTTGGCCACTCACAGCATGGCCACATGCACAGCGTGTGTTGGCCACTCACAGCATGGCCACATGCATAGCGTGTGTTGGCAACTCACAGCA